CTCTCTATCTCTCTGCCTGATGATGATATGAAAAGGAAAAAAAATTTCATCCGCATTTAAAACTAAAGTCTTGTGGTATGTAATCTCTGCAAATATCCTTTAGTCGATTGGTTGACCTGCTTGGTTAGTAGCTAGTCTACTCATACAGCTGTGCACAGACTGGTTGAAGTCGTCTTCGGAATGTGTCAAGGGGCTTTTTTGCTGTTATCTTCCGATTAAGGATGTGACTCTAAGTAAAAGAAGATGAAAATAGCACAAACCCCGAAAAATGATTTGCTGGGGCTTAGCTATTTTCATCTTCCTTTACCTGGATTCGTTTAAAACGCCCAAGTAATTCGCTTTATGGTGTCAGCTAGGTAAGCGTGCTTATTGAGTAAAGTTGAGAGCCCACCGCTTCAGAGGCAAAGTAGCAGATTCCTTGTTTCTGTTTTGAAGCCAAACATTCTGTTTTCTCGCCAGCCCATCAATGTTCTTGGCACTAATACTAGTTGCAGTGGCGTGCGCGTACCTTTGCTCATGTGTTTGACCTTGCCATGTGGTCCGGGCCTGCTGCCCCTGGAGTGCGTGCGTGCTTAGGTGGCTTGCTTGGCTTTGTCAGCTATTGTACCCATTGCTACTTCTGTTCGTTTTAGCTTTCTTTTGTCATCGGTCGATAATCGGCGTGAGAGAAAAGGGTTCATTCGTTACGTTGGATGTTTGCCTCCCTATAAACAAATGTACGCGCAATTCCTAGGTGCATGTTATTTAGAGCGGGAATGATCTACTTTTTTTTCGCAGTGGGGAAATCATCGTGTCGGCTAGTTACCAGCATTCCTTCCCTGGAATGAAAATCTTCTTCCCATCCTTTCTAACGCCTCCCGCTGTTTTAAGTCCGTCGCTCAAATCTCTCGTTTTGTTGTTTCTGTGGGCACCTAGTAAGGAGAAGGAATGAGATTGAAATTGAGCCGGCTCAACAGTCGCTGGGTTTGTGAGGCACCTGAATGTTCCTCAGACGTGAATGAATGAGTTAAAAGTTACAGTACCTTTGAAGCTGCGGTCTTAACTAGGCAACATTACTTAAAAACGTATTCCTCTCTAATGCCAGTCCACTTGAGGGACATGTAACCCTTACCATACGAATTCTCGCTGCACTGACATCAGTTCGAAGCTTTGGAAGACGATGGCACTTTGGCGATTGTTTTTATTCTTCAAAACCGATAAAACTGATTTCGAGAACGCCATAAACGCGGAATTTGATCGCGTAAATATTTGCTTGAACTCTGACTGGTGATGCCGCTTATCACAGTCTGACAATAGGTGAACCATTACCTTTATCCCACGACGACTTCAATCGACTTAAGATGCAAAGTTTCGTTTCCGTATGAAGGATATTACTTGCAACAGTGTTGAGTTTCGGTTATTTTTTACTTTACAATTTGTCCTACTCCTCTTAGTGTTCCATGCATGAGTCGATATCTGGTTGTTGCAGCAGACACAGTGAACTTTGATTTTGAGGCCATGGGTATACCTGTCAGCCCACCGTCTTCTGTTTTTGTTTCTGTGTTCTGCACAGGACCGTTGTTGCACACCTGGACTATGCGTTCGACTCACTGCTTTCTACCCCATGAAAATGTATCCACAGTTTTGACAGATTTTCAACCTGACATTGATACAACCTTGAGCGGGTTGTTTGGCCTGCCCATGGAGTAATTCGATCCTGTGAACCATCATTTTGGCTGGCATTCAGAAAGCGCTGGAAGTAACGGCTGTCGACTGACTTTGTCTGATTTAACGTACCACTTACCCGTCCACTTTTACAAATCGCACATTCTCAAATGTGATTTGTTCACATGTGAATCCTTATTCCTCCACTTTTAGGACCCCGTTGGCCACAGTCTTCCAATTTCAGTTGTTCCTATAACAGAAGAAGAACTACAGAAGGCTAGTCCCTACAACCTGAACGATCTAGTTGCCGCCAAGACGGCCGAAGAGCTTGCGCAGCCCCCGCAGGACAGCGGTCTGGTGGCTTGCACCTATGAGCCTTTTGTCGTTGGCGAACACAAGATCCACGTCATGTTTGCTGGCACAGAGATTCCGGAGAGTCCCTTCGTTTTTGACAGTGTTCCTGTCGGCAGGGCTGATCTTTGCAAGATTAAGGGTACGTCAACACACCCGTTGCCAGTAGTACTTGTTTTTGCGGTCCAAAGTTTAGGTCAATAATGACTTGTGTGTGTGTCTGTCCTGCCCGTTTAGACACAGTGAAACTGAAGGTAGCCGTGGGTGATGAGACTGGTATCACCGTCGACACCACCCACGCTGGCATTGGAAAACTTAAATGCCGTGTGACCCAGATTGCAAATGGCAAGGCAACAGATCTGCCCGTGGAGATGGAGGACAACAAGGACGGAACAGTGACGGCCTACTACAGACCTACAGAGCCGGCTCAACTTCAAACTGAACTGCGTTTCGGTGGCCAACTTATTCCTGACGGTCAAATTACACAGACGGTACATCTTATTCCATTTTTCTTTTCTTCCTGAAAGTGCAGACCTTGCAAATCGTAGTTATGCCTGAATCGTACTATCTGCACTCGTAAGCTGACGGAGGGGCAAAAAACCCAGTATACTGTCCATATTATCCAGTGGGTCGGAGGGTTATTTCAAATTCAGGAAGCCTTTAATCCGACAGTTACCAATTCTAAAAATAAGTTGTTCGCCGAATTACGGAAAAACGATCACTAGTCTATAAACTGATCAGAGTCTGGTCCTGATACAGCACATCGTTTTTGATGTGTTTACGATGTAACTTTCTGATCTTCTACCCAAATTTAGTTGTATAGCTTTCCTTTTAGTTTTCAAGAAAAAGATCACTTGTGAGAACTGTTCAATTTAACTTGTTTTTTTCTCTCGTTTTAACAGGCTGTCCATCCAGAGGAACTAGACGCTATTTCGGTAATTTCTTTACGGTTCTTCATGCATGCTTCTCTGTTGCTTTATGTTCTCATATAACCCAGCTGTGCGTTTCTATCATTTAGACACCAATCGAACCAACCTATCAGCCTCTCGATTTCCGTCTAGTGGTTGCAGGCAGACAGGATCAAAAGATTAATGGTAAGAACCAACTAATGAGCATAGAAGCTAGCAAAAAAAACAACGCGCCGTTTTCTCTCTTGTCTGGATCTTTTTATAAGCAGGGACATCGAGTTCCATTTTAATATTCGCCAGTTTTTCCTTCTAATTTACTCCACTTTCGTTTTATTAAGGCTTTGTTATCCGGCCATCCGGCGTTCAGGATACAGTCGAGCTGAAAGACAATTCTGACGGTACCGTACTGGTCAATTATCAACCAAAGGAGAGAGGCATGCATGAGCTGCATGTCAACAGCGTATCCGATGGACCTGATGGCGCCAGCATGCCCCTGGCTGGTAGTCCATACAAGTTCTTTGTTGACAACCTTTCCAGTGGAAACATTTCTGCGTATGGCCCCGGCCTCAGCCACGGAGTTACTGGTCAGCCCGCAGAATTTACAGTGGCTATGAAAGATGTTGGCGCAGGTGAGTTTTGGCGCGTCCTCTTCCACCGGTCCTCACCATTACGACCTCCTCCGCCTGCTTATTTTGCGCTGCAATCCACTAAAAATGTATTTTTTGTTTAAAACCTACCTCTTTC